CCTCTATGAGATGGATTGATTCGGTGACTGGGGTAATCGGGATGGGTGTGTCAGAGGCGGTGCGGTTGGCACAGGATAGAGCAGGGTTTAGCGGTGTTGTGCATGGGGTCGCTATGAGTCGGAAACGACTCGACGGCACATAACAACAACAACAATCTACCTGTCAAATGATATTTGACAAGCAAACCAACTCTATTATATGAGGATACACAGCATCTTCAACAAATCCTGGTGACAAAACTGGACATCTGCAGAAAAGTGAAACAGGATTCATATCTCACACCATATAAAAAAAGCTACTTAAGGTGGATCAGAGACCTAAGGTTATAATTCAAAACTATAAAGATAATAAAAGAAAAAATGGGAACAAATTTAAAAGCTGTAACCTACAGCATAAATAGCCTTCCAAACATAGCCCGAAACGTATAATAATTTAAAAAAGCATAATAAAGTGATGATAAAATCAATGAGTGGGAATATCTTAAAATCAAAACCCTCTCCAATAAGGTGAAAAGCAACCCTACAGAGTAGGGAAAAATATGTGGCAATGACATTATAAACTCATAACTAGAGTCTACAGAATACTACAGGACTGTGAAAAAGAAAAAACTGATAACCCAATAGCAAAATGGGCAAAATACATGAAAAGACTCTTCACAAAGGATGACATGCAGATGGCTAACAAACACATAAAGAACTGCTCAAAATCACTAGCAATCAGAAGGATGCAAATCAAAATAACAATGAGACACCATTTCACTCTAGCAGCACTAGCAAAGTTTAGTAACACAGCAAACAATAAATGTTGGAGAGCATGTGGAAAGATTGGCACCCTCACGGGATTGTAATGTTGCACAAGCACTATGGAAGGCAGTTTGGTGATTCCTCAAAAAGCTGAGTATGAAAATTCCATATGACCCAGGTTTGCACTGCCTGGGAATATATCCCAAGGAAATCAGAACTGAGACAAGAATGGACATGTTTTGTTTGTTGTGTGCTATCGTGGAGACTACAACTCATAGTGACCCTATGGACAATAGCTCTGAACCCTGCCTTATCTTGAGCTAATCTCACTGTCTCTGACACACTGCCCCCATTGCCACAGTTACTGTGTCAATCCATCTCATCCAGGGTCTTCCTCCTCTGTGCTATCCTTCCACCCTTCTAAGTTTGATGTCCATCTCTAAGGACTGATCCCTCCTGGCAACATGCCCAAAGTATGTGAGACGGAGCTTCAAAATTCTACCCTCCAAGGAGAAACTTGATTTCAGCCTCTATATTCAAAGCATACACAACAGCAAGAAAATGGAAACAGCCCAATACCCATCAACAAACAAATGGATTGAGAAATTGTGGAACATTCACACTATAGAATACTATGAGGTACCAAGGAACAATGATTTTGTATGCTATTAAATATGGGAAACTCTAGAGAGCAGTTTGCTGAAATAACTTAGTCACATAAGGACAAATATTGCAAAAGATTGCTATTATAAAAATAGGACGATAATTGAGTAAGATGCATATAAATGTTTTAAAGGGAACAAGGGGAAAGGGTGGGGGAAAATAAATGGAAAGGGTAGGAAAAACAGGATAGCAGAGGTTAGTGAGCGGAAAAGGGGTGAAGGCATAGGAAAAAATCCATAGAGACATAAAGAAACAAGGTGATAACAGGCATAGATGAATAGTAATTATAGAAAATATAACATATATGAATGATTCATATATACATAATATATATGAATGATTTTATGTATACAAAATACAATGTACATTAATCAAATGCAATGTATATGAATGACTATATGCAAATAAAAAAGGAGCACATGTCAGCACATTGATTGCTGAATAGACTTTATTTTTTAAAGAGTAAAAAAAACTGACTAATTGGCAGGAGGATAGATTACAGAGACAACTATCATTAGAAACAAGGTCTCAGCAGGATTGTGGCCTTAAAAGGGGTGACTCTTCAAAAATGAATCTTGCCATAATTACAAGTTGAAAGAAAAGAAAGATAAAAATAGAAAGGGGGGAATGACTAAGAGAGAGGAAGGAAAAAGAGGGACTTGAAATAAATTTATGAGACATGATCTTGCAAAACAATAATACTAATAAAAGAAGATACCTGGAAACTCACATATTTTCTTTGACAAACTTCTGCCATGTGATAAGGCCATTCATAACACTATGCAGCTGCTTCTTTGCAGACTCTTCACACTGTTCCAAATCCTGTTTAAACTTATTAAGTAAATCTCTCCATTTCTGTGTCAACTTCTGCAACAGTGCAAGATCTGCAGTGTCCTAGAAAAATTCAAGGACGCAAACAATTTAGCAATGTATTCATGTTGTGGTTGTTGTTGTGTACTGTCTAGTTGGAACCAACCCATAGCTCCATAACTCTGGCATGGTTTCAGAGGCTATTAATCACATGGGAAGAGATTGCTCATCCTTCTCCCGTGGAGCAGCTAGTGGATTTGAAATGCACACCTTTGGGATTACAGTGCAACTTCTTACCTCTAGGCCACCAGAGCTCCCATGTATTCATGTAGAAAAGTAAACTATGCAGCACTGAAAAACAAGGAACTCATGAAATATTATGCAAAGTGGATGACCCTAGAGGACAGTATGCTGAGTGAACTATCTCAGTCACAAAAGGACAAATATTGCATAGGGCCACTCTTGTAAAAGAGGACA